ACTCCCACCTCCCTTTATGCCCAGGGGAAAGGAGTTTCTATGCCCTACTCTTGGGACAGGACAATGAATCCATGGAGCTCTCATATTCCTATTCCTGATGGCTTAAGAAAGGATGGGGCTGATGGTGGGAGAAGATGGCCTCTGTTCAGCCAGCCCAAGTTCTGTCCTCACTGCTTAAAACAACCGTATGCTGACGTCAGCAGCACTTTGACCCTTGCATCAGAGACATGCCTAAGAGAATGAATTTTCAGCCGCCAATACTCAAGTGTGCCCCTGGGAGGAAGTGGGCCTGGTGGTTTGGTCCCTGTCTCTGTCCATGCTTGTGAGAAACCCCAGACAGCTTGCAGGCTCAGGATGCTTTCTTTTTTTGGGGTGGCGGAGGGGGATGGAGTCTCATTCTGTCGCCTAGGCTGGAGTCCAGTGGCTCAATCTCGGCTCACTGCAAGCTCCACCTCCTGGGTTGACGCCATTCTCCTGCCTCAGCCTCCTGAGTAGCTGGGACTACAGGCGGCTGCCACCACCCCTGGCTATTTTTTTCGTATTTTTAGTAGAAATAGGGTTTCATCGTGTTAGCCAGGATGGTCTCGATTTCCTGACCTCGTGATCTGCCCGCCTCGGCCTCCCAAAGTTCTGGGATTATAGGTGTGAGCCACCACGCCTGACCGGCTCAGGACCCTTTCTAAAGCCCAAAGACCAGCACAAGACTCAACCCTGAGAGGCCCCACTTCACCTAGAACCCCTGGCAGATCCGCCACCCTGGCCTCGGGGCAAGCAAACCCCAGGCTCTACTGCTCCATCCTTGTGAGGGGCTAAGAGTACCTGCAGAAACCTTCAACCCTCTGGCCTGGGGATGGAAGGGATAGGAAGAGACCCCAAGCAGGGTCTGGCCACCTGGGATGTTTCCCTAGCCCTGGTTTGCCTCAGATCATCTCAAGGTTGCTGAGGAGGAAGGATAACCCATCTCTGCAGGCCAAGTTCAAACCTCACACGGTAATCTGGGCAGACCTGAATCAGGACCCAGGTTGCCACGGCTGAGCTCAGGTTCTCCCTCACAGGTGTGTGGGCCCCAGTGAGCATCTTGCAGAGCTGGGACACACTCTTCACCCCTACTGAGGCTACTAATATTGTAGCTGCCACTGCCACAGCCATATCCCACACCACTATCCTGTGCCTCAGTCTTGATTATCCACAGTGGGAGGAACTGGCTAGCTGTGCTTGCACACTGGCCTTGCAGCCCTGCTATGAAGCATCCACAGAGCTGTGCCCTGTCAGCCCTTACACTCTAAGAAAGACCACATTGCCTTTGAGGCCGCCTGCCAGATTGCCACTGAGGCTGCTGCCGGTGGCACGGCCCATTCCCAGCTGTTCCCCATTGCCTGCTATGCGCAGCTCCGTGGCTGCACGCTCCGTGCCTTCAAGCTGGCCTCATTGGCCATGAGCCATCTTAACCCGGCTCTTAACCAGGACACCCACGCAGCCATCAATGACGTGCTCTCAGCCACTCTCTGGGCAAGGATGAGTTGGCAGTGCTCATCCCCCTGGTGGTGAAGAGTGTGCACATTGCCGTGATGCTTTCAGACATCCTGTGTGCGACACTGCACGGTGACTGCACCCGAGGCTGCCGCAGCTCTGGAAAGCTCATCTCTACTGACAGAGCTCCATTGTGCCAGTTGCTGATACCACCATGAATGCTTACATCAACACCCACATCAGCCTGACACACATCAGCCATTGCCAGTATGGAGTTCACTGAGTTTCTAAGCAAGGCTCGGGAGACCTTCCTGCTGCCCCAGGATGGCTTCCTGCAATTTGCCCAGTTCATTAGCAACCACAAACAGATCTACAAAGGCAAGGAAAAGCTGATGCAGCTGGTTCGAGAGCCCTTTGGCTGAGAAAGCAAGTAGCTCACTGGCCCGGCAGCCTGGGTCCCCAAGTAGTATCAGGTCAGGCCAGAAACACTGAAACATAGGCCGGGCGCGGTGGCTCAAGCCTGTAATCCCAGCACTTTGGGAGGCCGAGACGGGCGGATCACGAGGTCAGGAGATTGAGACCATCCTGGCTAACCCGGTGAAACCCCGTCTCTACTAAAAAATACAAAAACTTAGCCAGGCGAGGTGGCGGGCGCCTGTAGTCCCAGCTACTCGGGAGGCTGAGGCAGGAGAATGGCGTAAACCCGGGAGGCGGAGCTTGCAGTGAGCTGAGATCCGGCCACTGCACTCCAGCCCGGACGACAGAGCCAGACTCCGTCTCAAAAAAAAAAAAAACAAAAAACAAAAAACAAAAAACAAAAAAAAACACTGAAACATTTGTCCACCCTGAGAGGACTCTGAGCACCTGTGGCTGAGGCCAAAGGACCACAGGGCTAATGATGGGGAGAGTCCAACTCTAGTGGATATGCATACCTTGGCAAACTTGTCACTACAGCCCACTGTTCATGGAGAAGCTGGGCCCTGCAGGTCGACCAGAAAGCCCAAGATATGCCACCTTCTGCCCCTATGTCCTGCATGTCCTGGGCATTGGCGCTGTCTCCCTTGGCAAACACAGAACACTGTTCCATCTCAGAGATTGCTGAACCAGAAAAACAGATGCATTTATGGTACTGTAAATACTATAGTATATGTGTTGCCAATTATTGTAAAGTTGTAAATATTTATAATTCTGGTTCTGATTTGATGGGCCCTTGAGGTAGCTGTGGGTGGAGGATATGCTTATTGTCTCAGGAGACTCACAACCATTTCTCAGGTTTCCCTTGCAGAGTGTATGCCCTTCCCAGTGGGATAGTGGGGATGCCAAGGAGAAAAACAGCCAGTTAGAAAAAAATCCCAAGACTAGTCTATGCAGAATCTCTCACCTGCAGACAGGGCATTAATAGCCCAGTGGTGGGTGAGTGGCAGAGGCCAGGACTGGACTTAGACTTTTGCCTCACAAAGCTGTAAGACTCTGAAGCTCCTCCCCTGCCTCACACAGCCTCGCCAGGAGTCTGCTGAGCACCTTTGAAACAAGTGCAGGGAAAAGACGAACGTCTGCAAAGCCACTGAGCTCACAATATTCATCTACACTGGTCACCTTTGTGTTAAAAGAGTGTGTGTATCTGTATAACTGAGTGAGTACATGTGTCAATGTGCATAGATAAATCTGCACATGCCTGTCTGTATGTGCACATTATAGGTTTATGTGTATCTATGTCAGTTCTATGGCTGCGTACCTGTGTGGATATGTGCACACTGGACTGTGGGTCTCTGTGTGAGGATGTAACATTTGCATGCATGTGAGGATGCATATCTATGTATAAATGTTCTCATGTTTTGCATGTTTAGTGTGTATCTGGGCACACATGAACACATGTGTAGAAATATGTGTCTGTGTGTATGCTTGCTCTCCATGCATCTGTGGTTTTATATGTGTAACTGAGCATATTTCTACATGTAGGAATGACTGCATGAATGTGTCCTTTTTGTGAGATTTCTCTTCCTATTCGTCTTAAATCTCTTTCACCAGCTAAATGTGTGTTCCCCATCTCTGTGCCTCCTCTATTCATTCTCTCCCCAAATGAGCTTCTAAGCACCAGTCTCCCTCTGCCATCAGACTGGCTGCTTTTGCTGCACAGTTCTCTTCTCGTCCCGTACTTGCTTTCTTCCCCTGCCTTTCTACCTCAAGCTTCCTCTGCCTGCTTTTGTCACAGTCTCATTGCTTGATGACTTGAAGGCTAGGGCTGGTCTGCACTTAGCCTCTCCCTTCCTAATTTCTAGCCCTAGTAGGCAGCCCTGTCATAGCCCTGGCTGACCTCTGCAGTGTATCATCATATTCCTGCTACCTTCCTGACCCCTATGCTCAGCCTGGAATTGTTGTAGGAGATAGCAAGGGCTATCAGAAGAGTCAGTTGGTTACCTTGGTGTTTACTCTTTTATGTCTTAGTTTCTGAGTTGGGGGTGGGGTTTCTTAGGGAAGGAGTTGTATATCTAGAATGCGAACTAGGAACTTCTCCGTCTGCTTTTTCTTTCGTTGACAAACTGTCACCTTTTCTACTACAAACTGACCAAGATGTTGTATTTGCCACTTGTGGCTACTCAAGTCCTACTGCCCAGCCAAGCGCCCCTATGTCTCAGCCCAATGGGTTGGTTAAGAGAGAGAGAGACAGAGAGAGGTTACTCTTCATTTTTGTGTCACAATTGCCCTTGTTTTTAGCAGGTGTGTGAACTCACAGTGCTTTTCTATGAATAAATCATGAATCACATGAAAGATCACTTTTCTTAAAGAAAAAAAATTCCCTAATCCCAGAGGGGACCAGCAAATACTTAATAGAAGATTATAGATTTCCTGTGAGTGCATATGGCTTGGGGTGACCTGATTCTGTAAAGCAAATGTTACTGTCCTCAAATTCATGTGTCGAATTCTAATTCTATGTGATGGTATTTGGAGGTGGGCCTTGGCAGGTGAATAAGTTCATGAAGGCAGGGACCTCATGAATGGAATTGGTGCCCCTATCAAAGGGACTGCAGAGAGCTCCCTCATCCCTTCTGTCATGTAAGGACACAGTAAAAAGATGGCTGTCTATGAACAAGGAAGCCAGCCCTCTGTAGACACGGAATCTACTGACCATTTGACCTTGGATTTTACCATCTCCAGAACTGTGAGAAATCAATTTTCTATGCTACCTAGTCTATGGCATTCTGTTTTGACACTCAGATTAGCTAAAGTGCCAGCGTGTCAACTTGCACACATAATTCTTGGAAACTCTGATGCCAAATCCTTGATGGCAAAAGGTGATTGATCTGCCAGAGACATGAGCCTACATCATTCCCTCTTTCCACAATAAAACAGAGAGTCAAAAGAGGCAAGAGTAGGTCAAGGTCTTCTAAAAGCCATACCTGAAAGGTTTCCAATAGCAGTTGACTCGATGGTAATTCAATCACACAAACAACCACAACAAAAGACACAACTACCAAAGATTTTCAGGATCACCTCAAAAACACCGTCTAACATTAGGGAGTTCAAAAAGGTGCGAAGTTTCAGGAATAAAAGTTTATTGATATACAGTTTCATCAACTTGTAATTCTAACACTATTAATAAATGCTAGGGCAGGTGGTGGCATGGACATCCTGGGGCACAAGTGCTGTCTTTAAAAGCTTTGCTTGCTGTACCCTTTGGAGCTGCTTCCTGATCCCCTCACTCCCTGCCCGCCTGTTAGGAGCCCGTCCTGGGCAGCCCATCAGGGGCAAACAGCCTGGATGCCCAGTTGCAGACAGACATCCATGCCTGGAGGAGGAGGCCGCCTCTGGATGCAGGAGGAGCTACTGGAACTCTTCTAACCACTCTTCTTTTAATGCCCTTAAGCACCTCCTGCACACAGATGGACCCCAACAGCAGCAGTAGAATAAACAGGCCCTGCAGCAGCAGGACTGCAGCTCTAGTGAATGAGACAAGGCTCTCTCCGGCAGGGTAGAGGAGCCCAGGCTCAAAACCCTGGTCTTTGCCTCCATGTTTGCCACCTGCCCAGGACTAGGTGCAGCATGGGAGCTGCTGGCTGGGACCGTGCTGGTCACCCCCTCCCTCCGACTTCTCTCTACAGCCACGTTTTCAGTTGCAGGGCTAAGGCCAGTGGCTACAGTAGGTGCCATAATTTCAGGCAGCTCCTCGTTGGACTGGTCCTTGGCTGGAGCTCCCTCCAGCTCCAGCACTGTCTCTGGAGGGGGCTCTTCCCATGCTGGCTCTGGCTCAACAGCTGGTGCTGGAAGTGCTGGTATTTCTGTATGTGGAACAGGAGCTGAAAAAGGAGAAAGCGTCCCCAGCCGCAGTCACTTTCCACTGGAATTTCCAAACACAGAAAAAACCTCACTGAATTTAAAGGAGTTCCAGCCCCTAAACACTGCCCCCACAAAGTCTTCCAGACTGCAGGCCACCTCACCATGTGCCTCTGCCTCCATGGGCTCCCGAATCTCCTCCTGGACAAGGACAATGTGCAGATGCAGCCCCGATGGGATCTCTGGTGTGGCCTGGCCTGCTAGGGCCTGCCCTGCGCTGCCCTGTAATACCTGGTCGTGCCTTCTTACAAAGGGCCACAGGCATCTGGGGTGAGGGATGAGCCTTCTTCAGCATCGTTGGAAAAGGCTCTCACTCCCTCCATTCCTGAAGCAGCAGCCTCTCGAAGTGGGGAAGCAACACGAGAACATATTGTTCTCTTGTGCGTATTCTACCAAGTGAGCTGGTTACGGGGCTGACTCTAGGATATGGGCACCTGGTTACCAGAGTTCTAAGTTCTGTTCGGGTCTGTCATTAAGGAAGTGAGGTCACTTAAGGTTCCGTCCCCTCAGCCCCTTCCTTCCATAAGACCTCCTTAGGACTCCACTGGGCTGCTGACTGCTCACCCTCCCCCCAGGACACCTCCTTACCTAGACACCATTATGTCCACCCAGGGCCTGCTTGGAAACCTGTGCCTGATGATCACCGGGGGCCGGATGTCCTCCTCAGGCCTGATGTCCACAGAAGGCCTGATGTCTGCCTTGGGCCTATGTTCCTCTTGGGGCCTTGTGTTCACCTGGGGACTGTATCCAGCTGGGGCCTGATGGCTTACTGGGTCTTGTTCACCTAAGGTCTTGTATCCACCTGGGGTCTGGTGATCACCTGGGACTTGAGTATCAACCTGGGGCCTGGGTGTCTACTTAAGGCCAGATGTGTGCCTAAGGCCTGAGTTTTCACCTGGGCCTGATGTTCTCCTGTGGACTGGCTGTGTACCTTGGGTCTAATGTCCACCTGGAGCCTACATGTCTACTTACGGCATGGTGTCTACCTGCGGCCTGATGTCCACATGAATCTAGTGTTCAAATGGGCCTGCTGTCCACCTAGGGCCTTGGTGTCCATCTGGGGCCTGGTTGTCAACTTCGGACCTGGTGTACACCTTGAGTCCAGGGTCCATCTGGGGCCTGATGTCTGCCTGCAGGACTGGCGTCCTCCTGAGTGAGGTGGGAGGATCTCTGGAGCTCAAGAGGTGGAGACCACAGTGAGCCGTGATTGTGCCACTGCCCTCCAGTCTGGGTGAAAGAGCGAGACCCTGTCTCAAACAGATCAACAAAAAAACACACAAATTATATAGCTATACAAAAATATTTTCTTTCCTTTTAACCTTATTCTATGAGCTTTTTTCATTATTTATTTCACTTTTAAAAGGTTTTCGTTAAAAACCAAGACACAAGCACACACTTTCGCCTAAGCCTAAGCAGGGTCAGGATCATCATTTCACTGTCCTCTACCTCCACATCTTGTCCCACTGGAAGGTCTTCAGGGGCAGTAACAGGCATGGAGTTGTCATCTCCTTGATAATAATGCCTTCTTCTGGAAACTTTCTGAAGGACCTGCCCGAGGCTGCTTCACAGTTAACTTAAAAACAAAGTAGTAAGCATATACTCTAAAATAACAAGAAAAAAACCAGGATATTAAATACATAAAATATTAACATCAGCATCTATTATTTTCATCAAGCACTATGCACTGTACATAATTGTACACACCCACATCACCACAAACATGTAAACTCTGTGGTGTCCAATAAATCTGCCTTTCTTTACCTACAACTGTCTTGGTAAATTCTTTTACTTCGCATCCCACAGTTCCAGAGAGTCGCTGCTCCCCTATGACACTGAGTAAGGAGGATGTATAGCTGACACCATCTAGAAATGTTCCCTGTGGCCTAGCTCAGGCCACAGATTATGGTGAAGCTGCCAACTTCCACACTGTAAGCCTACAGGGAGCATCTATTGGTCAGGCACTTGCAGAGGCCCCAGGGTATACCCCAGCACACTGGAGGCGCCTCCCCACACCCACAGCCCCAGGCATGTACAGGGGATCCACATTCCTGCACACAAACACCAGGTAATGCATGAGGGGAAGGGAGGCTACCTTGAGACTAAGCACTGCCTCGCTACCTAAAAGCATTCTGTCATCATGAGGGCGAACCAGAGATTGACTCGACTGGCTGTTTAGTCCATCACTTTGGCCCTTGAGTTACTAACATTGATGGAACTGTTCAAAGTTACTAACTTTGGGTTTTCTGCCCACGTAACTGCCGGAAGCTAAGATGGGAACATCAGTGTCAGTCAAATAAAGCAACATGCGTTAACTTAGGGACCGCTACACAAGCTCACCAGTACATCCTTCTGGTGCCACTAGGATGCCACTTACTCTTCTACATAAGACAAAAGATTTTTAAAGTAGAATATGAATTATTGCTTTTTATGGAGAAGCCATTATTAAATTTTATAATTGCCCTGCTTTTTCCAAGTATGACATATAAACAGTTAAATCGATTCAAGATCATTAAATCATATGAAGTAATTTTTATATACATTATCTGCTGGGTTGAATATTACATAAATCTTCTCCAATCCATTGGTAGTCTTACAAAGACAGAGGCATATTTTTTGAATTTCTGAGCTTGATATCAAACAATATAAAGGCTGTTAAGAATGCTGAGATGGATTTGCTTAATAGATGTCAAACCGGCCTGCCTTCACAGGAAGGGCATATAGCCGCTGCACTTGCACCAGACAATTTATTTGTGTGTCCGTGGACAAGAAGTGAAGAAAAACAATGAATAACTTCCAAAAGAGTGAAAACATTGCAGCTGAGCTCTGGAATTCTTAGTAGAAACCATGAAAAGGGAATGAAAACACTTAGAGCAATTGCAGGTTAGAAACTGGGATTCACAGGAGGTTAACGGAGCACATTATGTTAAGTGAAATGAGCCAGGCACAAAAAGACAACTACCACGTGATCTGACTTATGTGGAATGTAAACAATGGAACTCACAGAAGCAGAGAGTAGAATGGAGGTTACCAGGGGCTGGGAGGCAAGGGTTTGGGGAGACAGTGAAAGCATTCAAAATTGTAGTTAGACAGAAGGAATAAGTTTAAGGGATGCATTGCACAACATGGTGACTGCAGTTAATGTATTGTATTCCTGAAAATCAAGAAGTATTCTCACCAAAAAAATAAGTATGCATATGTTCCTGAGTGCAATGTAATCATTCCACAATCTGCTTATTTCTACACAGGTTTTACACAACATATATACAATTTTATTTGCCATTTAAAAAAACTAATGAATTGTAAAAAGAATTAAGTACTGGAAAACTGGTCACAGTTTAGGACAACTCTCTTTGTAAAATTAATGGTTCCTTTCTTAACCAACCCGTTGGTCTATATTAGTTAATGAAATGAAACTTGGTTTATACTCTAAATCTGAACACAAAATTGTAGTCGTCTTCTATGTATTATCTGATCTGAAAGTAACAGCAGAATCAGAATGAAAACCATCTGAAAAGAAAGTTTTCCCAAGTGAAATGTTTTATTGGCCTTTGATTTATCTCTTTTACTTAGAAATAAAATGAATACTTACTATTTTAATAGACCCAATTGCTTCAGGCTATAAACTTGATCACACAATTTCAATTCAATTTTTATAGCCTGAGAGATATGCTTTTGAAAATATTCTTGGCTGGATGTGATGACACACGCCTGTAATCCCAGCACTCTGGGAGTCTGAGGCAGGCGGATCACGAGGTCAGGAGACCATCCTGGCTAATACGGTGAAACCCTGTATCTATTAAGAAAATACAAAAAATTAGCCAGGAGTGGTGGCGTGTGCCTGTGGTCCCACCCACTGGGGAGGCTGAGGCAGGAGAAAGGCATGAACCCGGGAGGCAGAGCTTGCAGTGAGCCGAGATCGTGCCACTGCACTCCAGCCTGGGTGACAGAACGACACTCCGTCTCAAAAAAAAAAAAAAAAAAAGGAAAATATTCCTAGTCAAGTGTGGTGGCTCAGCACCTATAATCCCGGCAACTCAGGAGGCTGAGGGATGAGAATCCCTTGAACCCAGGAAGTGGAGGTTGCAGTGAGCCGAGATCATGCCACTGCACTCCAGCCTATGCAACAGAGGGAGACTCTGCCTAAAAAAAAAATCATTCTTGAATAAAAACAAACACCTTTAATTCTATGCTATTGTCCTTTATATATTAACTTGGAGAAAAAAAATTTATACAATGAAATTTATTATTCTCCTTTTGATTAACATGTTTCCCTTTCTATTATGCAGTTTACTTCTTAATCAATCTCCATAATCAACTGCAATTTTTTTTTTTTTTTTGAGACGGAGTCTCACTCTTGTTGCCCAGGCTTGAGTGCAATGGCATAATCTCAGCTCACTGCAAGCTCTGCCTCCTCAGTTCAAGTTACTCTCCTGTCTCAGTCTCCCCAGTAGCTAGGATTACAGGCATGCGTCACCACGCCTGGCTAATTTTGTATTTTTAGTAGAGACGGGGTTTCTCCGTGTTGGTCAGGCTGGTCTCGAACTCTTGACCTCAGGTGATCCGCCCGTCTTGGCTTCCCAAAGTGCTGAGATTACAGGTGTGAGCCACCGTGCCCAGCCATATTAATTTATAGATGTTAAATTTAAAGCAATTGTGTTTTAAGATACCCTTTTGTCAGTTTCACTTACTGATGGCAACTTTCTACTTTGAGTAACATGATTCATCTCTGCTGTCAGGGGTCTGGGTTGCTGAGCGAGGAAGGTGTCTGTGTATGTCTGTGTTTGTTTTGTTTACTGACTGCATCTGTCCTACTGGCTAGGAGAAGAACACACACCGACATCTGTCCTGGCAGTGAAGGAGGGAGCCGCCCTCTAGGCACAGAGAGAAACCATCACTGCACCCAGACTGCACCTACTCTAGTAAAGAACAAGTCTGAGAGCTTGCACACTAGTGAGATGATCAGTTCCTCACTCTGCTCACAGTAAGGACAAGGCTGTGACTATCAGCTGGGGCAGAGAGTACATAGCTCAACAGCAGGTTTTTAAAAAGAGAGCAGAGTCTTCTTCCTTCCATGTTAAAAACAATCATAACGTGGTTCAGGTGACCACCAAGGACTGGGTTACATCCCACTATTCTCTGAAACTCAATACTGTCTTTGAATTTTTTGGAATCTCATAGCCTTTTCTATCTAAATGTATACTGTTACTCTCATGGCTAAAAGTTGCAGGGAGCAGTCTCTTTCTTTCATTTATGTTTCCAATTCTTTCTGGTTTCCTATACTATGACACTGTTTTAAACAAAATTTAAAAATCTTTCAGTCAGGCTGCACTCTCTGTTACCCATTGGTTTTTAGTGCACTAAAATTCACAGCATTTCCTGTTTGAAAAATAAGAAGTCACAATTTTATTAATCATCATCTGTTTGAAAGCTGTGCTAGTTTTAGTAGTTACTGTGCTTCTCAACATATTTTAAATGCCCATTCATGTGTCTTCTCTAACATTTCCAGGTTTGTGCTATTATACACAGGGGTAAAAGAAATGACCAGGAGAATCAATGTACAAATGGCTGAAAAAACAATAAAAATCCCAGCGGTCGTTTAGGACAAAACAGACCTGGCTGAGTCTCAAGTACCAAAGCAGGAATCATAAACATGCCACAGGGGGATTTGCTCTAAATGATATTTAAATATTTTAAAATGTACAATTTATATATGAACAAAAAGAAAAGAATTAACTATTTTTTTTTTTGAGACCGGGGTCACTCCGTCACCCACGATGGAGTGCAGTGATGCAATCATGGCTCACTACAGCCTTGAACTCCCAGGCTCAAGAGATCCTCCCACCTCAGCCTCCTGAATAGCTGGGACTGTCCGAATGCACACCCGGAAAGAAGGTGAAAACTTATTTATATTTCAATGTAATTATTTGTGAAGAAGAAAACATAATAAAGGCATTAAGAATGTAATGCCTAAATAGTAAAGTATGTTTTTATGGAAAATCACCTGTAGCCGGAAAAAATGTCTGCAGAATATTTAGGTCCTGTTTGCAAGAGTAGCGGGGAGCACTGGACACATCTCACCTCAATCCACAGGCAAGGCAGGACCCAAGTCACAGCCTTAAATGTATTCATTTGCTAAAAGAAAATGAACAGTTCTTTTCTTCTTCCCATATACTTAAATCTAGTTTTATCATTACATAATTTCTGGCTGGGCACGGTGACTCCTGCCTGTAATCCCAGCATTTTGGGAGGCTGACGTGGGTGGACCTCAAGGTCAGGAGTTCGAGACCAGCCTGACCAACATGGTGAAATCCCCTTTCTATTAAAAATACAAAAATTAGCCAGGCGTAGTGGCAGATGCCTGTAATCCCAGCTACTCCGGAGGCTGAGGCAGGAAAATTGCTTGAATCCGAGAGACAGAGGTTGCAGTGAGCCAAGATCATGCCATTGCACTCCAGCCTGAGTGACAGAGCGCGATTCCAACTCAAAATAATAATAATAATAATAATAATAATAATAATAATTTTCATATTTGAGCCCAGATTAATATATCATTTGTGAAGTTGAATGTCTGCT